CCTGAGTCTCTGAGATGGCTTTGGTCTGGCCACTCTCTTTCAGGTCTACCAGAGAGATGGGTCAGCCCAACATCTCTCCCCAGGTCACTGTGTTCCTGAATAATAGCTGACTTCCATCTTCGCCAACATTTACTTCTGAGTGGTTTGCTTTTGAAAGGGGGCAGGCAGCTGGACTAGGGCCCAGAGCTGAGTGGCCCTGGTGTCCAGAGGACACTAAAGAGACACGATGACCGCCTGTGACATATGCATCTCAACCAGATAGGACAGGAGCATCACTGGGGTCCTCGGTGCAGTGGGACTGGAGCCTGCAGACTGGGCGGGAGCGCTGTATCAGCGCTGACTTTGAGACTCGAGACTGCAGGTTGGTGGCGTGGGAGCGTGTCCTTGCTTGAGGACATACACAACAGGCTACTTAGGGGTGATGGGCATCATGACGGCAGCTGCTCTCAAGAGCTCAGAGAAAGGCTCGTGATAATGGATGTGTGTGTCCAGCCGGGGAATCGGAAAGAGGGAGATATGGAAGCTCTCTGTACTCCACCCGGGACTTTTCTGTAAGTACAAAATTATTTCAAAATAAATTATTTTTAAACCATAAACAGATAACCCTAGCACCACAAATGCTGCACATGTGACTTTTATGTTCTAAGTCTCCTTATCTGTGTGATTCCTGTGGTGCCTTTAAAACCCCCTCTTCTTTTTTTCTCTCTATCTGGCCCAGTGTCAAGGAAACGGGCCTCACTTCCTGGCTTTTCTTTTGTTTAAACCTCTGCAACCTTTCTGTAAACACTGTTAATGTGATTTCAATTTGTAGCTCAAGACTTAAGGCCAGCATTGTGGAGAGTGCTGCACACAGCAGGTGTCGAATGAATGTGGCTGACCGATCCCCCGACTGATGGAACAGCAATCATGTGACAGCAGTCCCCCCTTATCCACGGTTTCACTTTCCACCGGTTTCACTTACCCAGGTCAATAAGGTCTGGAAATATCACACAGAAATTTCCAGAAACAATTCATAAGTTTTAAATTGCACGCCATTCTGAGTAGCGTGATGAAATCTTGCGCTATCCCGCCTGGGACATGAATTCTCCCTTTGTCGGCAAATCCACACTCTCTGTGCTCCCCACCCCTTAGTTACTTAGCAGCCATCACAGGCATCACATTGACTGCTGCGGTGTCACAGGGCTTGTGCCCAAGTTACTCCTATTTTACTTCATAATGGCCCCAAAACACAAGAGTAGCAATGCTGGCAATTCAGATATGCCAGGAAAAAGCCACAAAGTGCTTCCTTTGGGTGAAAAGGTGAAAGTTCTCGACTTCATAAGGAAAGAAAAAAATTGTATGTGGAGGTCACTAAGATCTATGGTCGGAGTGAATTGTCTATTCATGACATTGTTTAGAAGGAAAACGAAATCCGTGCATAGCACACACAGGGTTTGGATGGATCTAACACACCTTCCTCTAGGTCCTCAGTGGTAGAAATGCTAACCACCTCCTCGTTCTGCTGCGGAGCAAGTTTCCTGCTGCTGCGACACACTTACCGATGTTCCATCGAGGGTCGGTGTTCAGCGTCACTCCTCAGCACACCAGCAGTAAGTGCCTACGACTTAGGCTATGATACAGACACATAAGGAAAGAAAAGTGCCTCCTACATCTATGAATAGATGTGCAAACAAGCATGTACGGAGCAGCAAGAAATCTTCACACCAAAAGACATCCTGCTACACGGATCCCATTCCCGCCGACTCTTTCTGTCTGGGATGACGGGACACACAGCACAGACCACTCTCTTAGAGGCTGGGCCATTCTCCATTCTAAGGAGGCCCTTGAAAGCTAAGAAGCAATCGGTATCTTTGTAAGTCATTTTTCTTTGGTTTTTGCATAACAGCCAAGAAATGCAATTCACTGAGAGCTGAATGTTCTAGTTCCACATTACCATACGCATCATCCGCCGGTGACCAGTTTGCAAAGAATTGGAGACTGTCATAAAATGTATGTCAGACTAACCAGAGCACAACTGAGCCAATCATGGACATTTCAGAATACTGAACTTAGTTGGGTTCATTTTCATAAAAACCAGCCACCACTGGGACACTGCAGTCGTCAAACACAATGGTCACTCATGAGCATCTACTGTGTGCCCAGTGCTATAGGTACATTATTTCAGAGCATCACAACAACGTGCAGAGGAGGAACACAAGTGCACAAAGTGAAATTCAGAAAACAAGGGCCGGCCCGGTGGCGCACCGGAGAGTGCGGCGCTTGGGAGTGCGGCGGCGCTCCCGCTGAGGGTTCAGATCCCATGTGGAGACCAGTTCCTACTCACTGGCTGAGCACGGTGCGGGTGTGACACCGAGGGTTGCGATCCCGTTGCCGGTCCCCGGTACAGGCGCGACACCGAGGGTTGCGATCGGTCAGTTAAAAAGACAAAAGGAAAAAAAAAAAAAGAAATTCAGAAAATTTAAGTAATGTGCCTGGGGCCTAGCAGAGAGGAAGCAAAGGCGGAATTTGGAGCTTGATTTTTTCTGGTGCCAACTGCTGGGCTTTCTCCATCACACCTCCCGGGGGCCACACCTGAAGCGGCAGCTGCTGGTATAGTTCCCCATCACACAGGGGTCTTGTCGATCCATTCATTTGTCTGGGTCCCCGGAGACATGGGATCCACCAGGCAGGAGCTGAGCCTTAGTCATCTCCGTCTTGCCAAAACCCAGCTCAGTGCCAGGCACACAGGGGGCACTGAATAAATGCTGAATAAATGAATGAATGTTTCTGTTTGGATCAGGGGTACTGCAGGTATAGAAAAATAGTAACCACTCTACGAGCTCAGCTATGTGCAAAGAACGTTGCTGTATATCAACTATGACCCCGTGAGGGACACCTGGTTATTCCCACCTCGGAAGTGAAAGACTGGAGCTTACAGAAAGTTTAAGAAGGTTTTCTAGGTTAGTCACACAGCTGTGCGTGTCTGACTCTAAAACCTATATTCTTACCCACTGTGTCCTTTCTACGGGATAGATCACATTCTTTTGTGTATACCACATCTTGAAATGCATACCCGAACGTGCTGTACAGATGCAAACTCTTCTATAAGCTCATTTTGTGCTCTACCTGCCTCTTTCTCATGGAAAGTATTCAGTAGTCAAAACAAACAAAAAACTCATGAAAGTGGAAACAGCCTCAGATCCATTTCTAGGTTTAATAAATTCCAGTTTATCCACTCATGCAACACCATGCAGCCAGTCAAAGAACCATCAGGAAAACAGTGGGGAAATATTTTAATAGTACAAGATAAAAACAGGTTACAAACTTATACGTACATATTATCTATACTTTATGATTACAAGTATGTTTTTTAAAAAACCCGAGAGAAACTAAGAGCTGTGGCAATCAGTTGGTATGATTATGAGTGATTTTCATCTCAATTTCCCTACTCACAAAATCAGCTGAAAAATCTTGGGTTGTTTATTATTTTAAAAATTACTATATTTTTAAAATAACCTACTGGTTACTTATGCTACTCTTTGATTTCTGCATAAAAATAGAGATTCGGTTTCCTCAAACGTTTAATGCTAAACTGCTTAGGGAAAGCTTGTTTTTTATGGGTCATGGATCTTTTCAGTAAACACCAAAGAAGATTTCTAGAAATGTTGCATTTTTAAGCTTGTCAGTGTTTGGAAAGCAGACTGAGAAATTATTTTGCTGTGGATAAAAGGAAAAACAAATTTGGGGGGAAGATACAGAAATTGTGGACAACAAGCAGTAATTAGCTGTGATTCTTGCCCACTCCTCAATTAGCCTGTTGCCTTGTCCTTGATGCGTGTGTGTTGATTTGCTCTGACGCACGCCAGTAGAATGTGTGGTTTGAAGTATCGGTTCTTCCCCAGCAAGAATTTATCATGCAAAATAGTCAAATTCCGAGTGATCAAAATAGTAAAAGTAAAGAAACGTGCAGGCACTTACCCCAGGTCTTAGGTATGTCATATGACTTTACAGTTCTGTGTGTGTGTGTGTGTGTGTGTGTGTGTGCATGTGTGTGTATACACATACAGGGGCTGGAACAGGCCTTGCAGACAATGTTTACAGTTGCAATTTACAGACACATCAGAGGACACACAAAACTCAGGACCATGAGCTTCTGAAAAGGGGATTCGATTATGGGTCACTCCAAAATACTCACTGCCTCAACTCTTCAAATGGACTCACAATACAATGTTTGTTCACCAAATGTCCTAGGGAAGTAACTGGCCAACTGAATTTTGGCTGATTTTCATCAAATCCTCAAATTTGCAAAACTATAAAGCCTTCCCTGAAGTTGGTTTGCACAGATGCTGTGGAAAAGTAAATTACTTGTATATGTAGACCTGGTTCTAGCAGCACTCCCACGACCTCCTCCACTACTACCACCACCACCACCACTAGCACCCCCCGCACCACTCCTGCCACCACTGCCATCACCCCTACTGATTACCAGGAAGGAAGAGAGAACTACCGAACTTTCTAGCTGTTTTTTAAAAGACATGAGTTGAAAGCACTTCCCAGGGACGAAGGAACATTCTTTAGACAAAGATCATATCCAAGTAGCTGTGATGCAGAGAACCCTCCAAAAAGGGAAAAAACAAAAACAAAAAAAATGCCCCTCAGCTGCACAATAAAAAAAGTCAGAAAAGACACACACCAAAATATTAATGGTGGCTGTCTCTACGCAGGAGAATAAAGGAGATTTTTTTCTTTTATTTATATTTCTGAACAGTCTAAATGTTTTTGCAATGATCAGGTATTGCTTAAATATCTTTTTAAAATTTCCATTTTCAGAAATAGAAGGTAATTGTGAACGGGTCGTTCAGGCATTTGTAAGGAGAGTTCTATCTGAGGTCAATTCGTGTGATGATGTAGCTGAAGAAAGCCAGGTCTGAATCCTTGCTGGGCACTTCTCAGCTGTGTGACCTCTCTGATTGATACACTAGATACACAGTTGTGAAAAAATTAATGATGGGATGTATGCCACGCCCTGGACACACAGACGCTGTGTAATGGCTAATTGGCATTATTTGCCAAGCCTGGTGATGCTCTCAAACTCACCTGTAAGGTGTGCACCCACTCACCTGCCTCCTGTATCTTTCAAGCTGGGACAACCTTACTGTAGCGGTGGACAGAGGACCTGGTGGCTTAGCAGGGCTCCCAGGTGTTCATGCTATGGGCTTAGGACTTAAGAGCATGGTTCTGAAGAGGTGGCCCCAAGTAACCCCCTAATTCCACGCTTTTCCAGCTGCATAATCTCAAACCAGTCAGAATCTCTCCGAGGCTGAGTCTCCTCGATGTTAAGTGGACAGGGACATTGGTCAAAATGACCTACCTGGTCATTTTGCTGTGAATGCTGAGGACACGGGACGTGGCTCAGGGCTTGCACACTGGCAGTGTGAGCTATTGCCACTACCATGAGGCAAGATGAGATAATTAAATTCAGTTTAAAGACCCTTTCTAAGGCAACTTGCTAAAATTATGCCCGAATCAAATATGTGCTAAGAAGGTGCTTACAGGGCTGGCCCGGTGGCGCACTGCTATAGTGCGCTGCTTGGGAGTGTGGCGGCGCTCCCGCCGAGGGTTCGGATCCCACATACAGACCGGTTCCCGCTCACTGGCTGAGCGAGGCGCGGGAGCAACACCGAGGGTTGCGATCCCGTTGCCGGTCCCGGTCCGGTACGGGGGCGACACTGACGGTTGCGATCCGTTGCCGGACACGGAAAAAGAAAAAAAAAAAAAAAAAAGAAGGTGCTTACAGAAAAAACTGAATAGACTAGATCTTTTAGCACTTCTCAGCTAATTTGGAAACTTTTGTAAAATTCACAGCTCTTTTGACAAAAAAAAAAAACTAGCATAACTTGATATATTAATAAAAATATAATGAGGTTTTAGGAATGATATTGTCTATTAACTGTGTTACAACAGAAAATCCTTCCAAGATCCCTTCTAATCCTTAAAATTCTGTAGGGTAGAAACAGAAACCCAAACTCAGAACCCAGGATTTCCGTCTTCCCATCTGGATTACGCAGAGGAATGTGACCAAGCAGGCCTGCACACAGAACTGTGGGTTTTTCCCCCAGCCATTTAGAAATATGTAAACTCTGAAAGAGAAACTACTGTTCTGAATGTAATGGCACGGCTGGCCACTTAGCTCACTTGGTAGAGCTGCTACCGATGACACAAAGGTCAAGGGTTCAGATCCCCGTACCAGCCAGCCACCAATAAAATAAAATGCAATGGTAGGACCTCCTACATAAAACAATTTTTTATGTCATATTCTTCATTTTACTTGGATTTACATATATGTTCAGTCATTACCAAAATGGGTTAATCTCTTAGGCAATGGCTAATTCACTTGGCAATCTAGATGCAAGGCTGACAAGGGGAACCATTCTGTATACCAAATATTGGAGTTGATTAGGTATAGTCCACCTAAGAGAGAAGTTGAAAGGACAATTCTTTAGAGCAAAGTGACGATCATATCCCACCCCCAACCTACCAACAAGACCATGGGAAATGTCTGACAGGCGA